TTTGATTTGATTTGATTTTTATTGATTAGCATTCAAATATCTCAGTGAAAACAGAACAAAGATCTACCACAAAGCAAGAAAGCATGAGACAAGGCTAATCAAAAGGTATTGGCTGAAGTAATATAGTAGGACTGTTGCCTTATTTTAAAAAAAGCACATGAATGTTGCTGTGAAGTTGCTCAATCATTACATTACACTAAAGGCATACAATAATTTATATGACACTGAGTAAAACAAGCATCTGAGATCCTACAGCCCAGCCAGACTCCCACATACTGACTGTGAGCTCATGTGACACACAGATTACAACTGCAATTAAATTTAATTACATTATACATTATGCATATGAGGCACAGACCAAAGACCATCAGCAAGAAGCTTGATGAGAAGGCGATTAATCAGAAATGGAAGAAATATAAAACGACCATTACTCTCCCCTATGTCTGGACCTCCACATGAGCTCTTGCATCATGGGGTGAAGATGATCATGAGAAAGATGTTGGACCACAGACAACAAGAACACCACACTGGACTGATATCTAGCAGCGCTTGCAAGGTCCTCCTGTTCAAGGAGGCACGTGACTTAGTTTTAAAAATCCAAATGATTCAGAAAAGGCTTGGGAGAGAGCTGTGTGGTCATATGAAACCAAAATCAAGCTCTTTAGCATCAACTCGATGTGCCACGTTTGGAGAAAGAGAAAGTCAAGCATAGAAACATTATACTTTTCTGCTAAGGACGGGACAACTTCACGGACATCTGAGTTGACAAGCAATCAGCGAGAAACACGAAAGGATTTACTTAAATCAGTTTATAACTGATTACTATCCCCCCACCCCACCCAGTCGTTCTTCCCCTGACATCTTTGACTAGATTATTGTGTACATGAGCACGTTTACCTGTGCATCCAGCTCCATGATATGGGACACCTTGTTCCAGCCAAAGCCCACAAAGCGCTGGTCGTACTCAGGACATTCTCTTCTCACCACGACGTACGGCTCAAAGTCTGGCTCCCACTCCACCTTATAGGGCGTGGTGGCCGTTCGCCATTTGGCATAGTTGGTAGGTGCGTGACCCTTTGGCCACACATGATACCTGTGACAGGCAGGAAGAAGGAGACATTGCCAGTTAAATAATCCTCCAATCATCATCGACTGATCAGAAAAGTTCATTTTGGTTTGTAATTAGAAACCTGAAGGTGTAGAGAGTCCCCATGTCCAGCATGGAGAGCAGCTCGGCTTTGGATTTGGGGAAGGACAGACGGTAACGAAGGGTCTCGAAAGCTGGAACCACCAGAGCCTTCTTTGTGTGAGCCATGTCCATCTGCACCACAGACTTTCTGCAGCAGCAAACAGGAAGTGAGAGGCAGCTAAAGCAGCACGTATCTACCAACAGGGATGACTAAACCCTCGAAAACAGGATTGCAGTCTGAAAGTTCAAAGTAAGTAAAACTTCCAGAAATTCCATGAATAATATATAATGAATGATTTTTGGTTCTTGGTTAGGAAAACTACTCCAATAGGATTTTACGCAGGACTCATGACTCACCTCTAATGCTGGGCTCAGACTACACAGCACTTTGTGATCAGTGCGTCTCCTATTAGGCGGATATAATCGAGTCAAAAACACTCGCAATGAATTGGCAAATAGACAGAAAACCTAGACCGAATCATGGCAGGAATATCCTGGTGAAAAGGAGGGAAACGTCATCTCTTCTTTGTCCAATAATAATTTTAAGGAGTGTTAAAATATGTCTACTCTTGTTTTCAGTTCATCTTGTGTAGCAGGAGAGCGTCCTCACTGAGGAGCAAACACCGTTTCCACTCGCAGCAATAAGGAAAATGAGTCAGCGCAGAACCAACGGATGTCACAGCGCAGCATTACAACCTCTAAGCACAGCGGAAAGTCAAGGTGTAGGCATCAGAGTTCATTACTCTATTTTATTTTAGTCAGTGGTAAGGTAAGGGTATCAGAAGTACAGTTATAACACCACATCTGTATGTAACACTATTCAAAAAAACAAAACAAAAAAAAAAACAAGCCATGAAAAGGTTTTCTTACGACAGGACAGTCGGACTTACCTCAGGTAATCATAGAGACCGTACATTGGCAGGAAGTCCACGTCAGTCAGGAACACGTAGGGTGTGTTGGCATTCTTCAGGGCCACGTTCCTCACCAGGTTGACCGGGTAGAACTGGCCCTCCTTGTAGACAATGTGGTAACCCACATTCTTGCGGTTCTTGAGGACCTCGGAGGCCTGGGCGTAACGCAGGAACTGCTGAGCCTCAGCGTCAGACATGTAGAGAGCTAGGCTGATGGGGCCTTCCCAGTGCTTACAGATGGCTTCCAGCATCTGCAGCCTGTAGCAGGCACACACGGTCATTTCACACATTTTAAAGCACACAGATCCAAGCCAGGAGACGATTACAGTACACGGGTTCAGTACCTGTCCATGGAGAGCTGGGCCACCAGAGTGATGTCAGTGTTGTCCTCAGTGGGCGTGTAGTCATACTGCAGGAAATACAGGTGAACTCGGTGCACTGTCAGTCGCTCTCGACGGAAGTCGTAACACTGATCGTCCTCGTCCAGCTCCTCCAGAGCCTTTTGTAGCTGAGCAAAAGTACACACAGTTACAACATCCATCCATCCATTCGCTTCCGCTTATCCTTTTCAGGGTCGCGGGGGGTGCTGGAGCCTATCCCAGCTGTCATGGGGGAAAGGCAGGGTACACCCTGGACAGGTCGCCAGTCTGTCGCAGGGCCACAGTTACAACAATTAAATGTCATTTTCAATTTCCTTTATCTTCTAACCCAACGGTCCCCAACCCCCGAGCCACCGGCCGGTACCGGTCCGTGAGTCGTTTGTCATTAGAATAGAATAGAATAGAATAGAATTCCACTTTATTGTCATTGCACATGTCATAGGTACAGGGCAACGAAATGCAGTTTGCATCCATCCAGAAGTGCTTTAGCCATGATATAGATATATCTTCCTTCCTGTAGATGTCCTTTATGGCAGGAAGTGGTGCTCCGGCGATGCGCTGGGCAGTTTTCACGACCCTCTGCAACGCCTTCCGGTCCGAGGCAGAGCAGTTCCCGTACCAGACTGTTATACAGTTGGTCAGGATGCTCTCGATGGTGCAGCGATAGAAGTTCACCAGGATGTCTGAGGACAGGTGGTTCTTCCTCAGAGTCCTCAAGAAGAAGAGGCGCTGGTGAGCCTTCTTGACCAGCTTGGAGCAGTTGGTCGTCCAGATGAGATCCTCGGAGATGTGAACTCCCAGGAACTTGAAGCTGCTCACACGCTCCACAGCCGTCCCCTTAATGTAGGTGGGCGGATGTGGGTCAGCATTCCTCCTGTAGTCCAACGATGAGCTCCTTGGTCTTCTCAGTGTTAAGCAGCAGGTTGTTTGTGTCACACCACTCACCCAGACGATCCACCTCCTCCCTGTAGGTCACCGTGGTGTCATCTGCAAACTTAATGATGGTGTTAGAACCACCGGCAGGTCTGCAGTCGTGGGTGAAGAGGGAGTAGAGGAAAGGGCTCATCACACATTGTGATTGTAGATGAGCAGTGGTTATCCAGCCGGACATGTTGGGGGCGGTTGGTCAGGAAGTCCAGTAACCATTTGCAGATGAGGGAACTGATGCCCAGGTCTGTCAGTTTCCTGATGAGTTGTGAGGGGTGGATTGTATTGAATGCTGAACTGAAGTCTATAAACAGCATTCTGGCGTAGGTGTTGTTGTTGTCCAGGTGTGAGAGGACAGAGTGCAGTGCGATGGAGACTGCATCCTCTGTGCTCCTGTTCTGGCGGTATGCGAATTGGTGGGGGTCCAGGGTGGGGGGGGAGACAGGATTTGAAGTGTGCTAGGACCAGCTGCTCTAAGCACTTAGTGATGATGGGGGTGAGTACTGTAGGCAGGGAGGCTAGATGGGTTGGAGTTTTTGGGTATCGGGACGATGGAGGTGGATTTGAAGCAGGCCGGTACCACAGCGTGGGCCAAGGACAGGTTGAATATGTCTGTCAGCACTCCTGCAAGCTCCCCAGAACACGCTCTGAGAACACGCCCGGGGATGCCATCAGGACCTGCAGCCTTGTGAACATTGATCCTGTTCAGCACCGCTCCTACATCGGTGGGGGAGAGAATCAGAGGTTGGTGGTCTGGCGTCACGTCTGCTTTGGTTGTGGTTGTTGGATTCCCTCGCTCAAAACGAGCATAAAAGTTGTTGAGCTCATTGAGGAAGGAGACATCAGAGGATGCGGGGGAGGGTTTGGTGGTCCTGTAGTCTGTAATGGTCTGGAGTCCTTGCCACATGCGTCGGGGGTTGGAGTTGGAGAAGTGTTCTTCTACCTTCTTTTTGTAATGGTGTTTGGCTTTTTTGATGCCCTTCTTTAGATTAGCCCTGGCTGTACTGCAGGCGTGTGCATCTCCTGACCTAAAGGCGGTGTTGCGGGCCTTCAGGAGGAGACGAACATCCCGGTTCATCCAAGGCTTCTGGTTGGGGTACATGGTGATCCGTTTCTGGGTGGTGACTCTGTCTGTGGTTTTGGAGATTAGGTGAGCAGTGACTCTCAGTAGTAGTGGAGTTCATGCACCAAGCGTTGTTAATATAAATGCACAAACCTCCACCTCTGGTCTTGCGGGAGTCATCTGCTAGCCTGTCTGCTCGGTGTGTGTGTTAAGGCTCGGGTGTGAAATTTATGGTTTTCAGGGTTTTTATCGTTATTTTTTTAATGTTTTTTATCGTTAACTCGGTTTTCCTGGATCTTTTCCCGAATATTATCAATGAATCTTCCTTTTTGGTACTGGTTTTATTTTGTTGTATTTATACGCAACACCTTAAAGGCTGGTCCGTGAAAATATTGTCGGACATAAACCAGAGGCACAAAAAATATTTTCTGTCTCTGTCTGTCCTAGCTCTCTCTTTCTTCCCCAAACACCCTCCTTTATCAAAAAAGCAAAACAAAAGATAAAAACATATTGCAAACAAGATTTGTCCTGCAGACTAATCTCATGGGAATCGACTGGAAAACGATACATACACATGTGTTTAGCTGACAGGTAACATCATAAATATTTAACAAATAAACTTCACTACTACTACTACTACTAGATACTTTAGGCAACAGTGGAAACCACGACGCTGCCCCCGTACAATATTACTCAGCAAAGGCCACAAAGTGAAGTAGAGACAGATCAGCTGACCTCAGCTCGGCACAGCCCTGAACTGGACGAGCAGATAAGAAAACAGGTGGATGTTATTGTTTCCTGCCTGACACAGTCTGAGTGATGTTTGAAATATTTTCCCCCAATGTTAAATGATTACTCTCAGATGTTTGCTACTGTCACAAATATCGCCCGTGTGTGTGTGTGTGTGTGTGTGCGCCAACCTTGACGCTCTCTGGACTGGCCTGCGTCGGGCAACCGAACAGTTCCCGTCTCAGCAGGTTTCCATCATACTCCAAGAAGGTCAGGTAGAGGTTCCTGAAGAACTCCACGTGTTTGTTTTTGACGCGGAGCTTCTTAGGAGAGTTCCAGTGGATCACCTGAAACCATAACAAATGGTAAATGGACTGTATTTGTATAGCGCTTTTCTAGTCCTTAAAGCGCTTTACATATCCAGTCATCCACCCATTCACACACACATTCACACACTGGTGATGGCAAGCTACATTGCAGCCACAGCCACCCTGGGGCGCACTGACAGAGGCGAGGCTGCCGGACACTGGCGCCGACCGAGCCCTCTGACCACCACCAGTAGGCAACGGGTGAAGTGTCTTGCCCAAGGACACAACGACCAAGACTGTCTGAGCCAGGGCTCGAACCGGCAACCTTCCGATTACAAGGTGAACTCCCAACTCTTGAGCCACGATTGCAAGTTTCTGCTACTCAGCCTGACGGCAGCCTGTGGCAGTAAATGACAAACCTGATGGTGCGAGCTGGCATACCTTGAGGTCAGACACCTCGGTGTAACACTGCTCGGAGCGTGTGTGATCAGACAGCTGAACGTTCCAGAAGCAGGGAAGCTGGTGCACCAGGACTGGGTTCTGCTTTATGAAGGCGTTGAATATGTCCTGCACACAGACAACACACCGCTTTATCAAGAGCCTCGATCCTTTTAACACTAGGATTACTTTGTAGACATGCATAGATCAGAGCTGCTGATGTTTGTGATGATGTAAACAGAATCAAATTTGTGAAAGCATGACTCATCGTGGCCTCAGGGTCTCATTCTGCAGCCCTGCTCTCCAAGACAACAAAAAAATAGTCTTTAAAAAATTCAATAAAGCTCAACAAACACAAGACTGTAAAACACCAACAGCTCGTCAGTGCCAGGATGATGCCACTGATGAGCTGTATACGTGGGCGCCGAGGCGACGGAGTCACAATCAAAGGAGTCCTCACCCAGAATCAGTTACAGTGAAGGCCACAGACTGATGACGGTGTGTAATGAGTTGACAATCCTGTTTGGAGGTATCCCTAACCTGATCAGCGAGTGATGTACTGAGCATGCTCATAAGTTCCCTCTCTGCCGTCAGCCTCCACATCTGCTCCCAACCGATTCGCCGCAGTCTCTCCAAGTACAGAAGAATGACGCCTGAAACCACGAAGCAGGACACTGGCTAACAATGTGACATTAACTTAAAACGTTCACTTTGGGCTAAACGTTCACTCTTCAAACACTGAGGTTCTTTGTGCTGTTAGGAATGAGACGACATCAGGTTCTGTGCTGTTTGGAGCAAACCTGCCAGCCTCAGAGATTCGATCAAAAACCCGTTTACCTGTGTTGAAGCCTCTTCCCAGCGCAGGCCACGGTTTGTGGTTTTTCCATAAGTTGCCCAAGTACCAGTCACTTTGATTCTCCACCAGACCAATCACCTGCTTATCTGTGAATGAAACAACCATCAGCTGAGGAGCAAAGATTTCAGGAAACATTCTTCTTTTTCAACAAGTTTTTTTCCCCTCAACAGTTCACAAACATAATAAACTTAAATGAGCATCAGTGTTCACAGTAACCAACTGCTTTCATCATTCATTCAGCTAGTTTAAAAAAAATTCTAATTCTTATTTGATAACTGATATCGAGGCGTCACATACTAAACAGCAGTCACTCTGCTGGCAGCGTCTGCCCGCTAATGAATCTAAAACCCACAGATACATCCGTACGTCTGTGGTCTGCTTGAGGAGATTTTCAGTAACAGTAACTTATTGATGGTTTTCGATACGTGTGATGGTACACAGCAGTCCTAAAAATAAAAACAGCATTGATTTGAAATTTTCATAAACCCACAATTTATTCACAGTAGCACACAGAAAACAAAACTTTAAATTGAGATATTTTATTATTTCATGAAAAAAAAATAGCTCATTTTGAAATTGATGGCAACAAAAGAACATTTTGTAACTAATTAAGCTAAATGGCAACAGGTCTTTAACATGGCATAAAAAAGAGAAGCAGAGAGCTTCACAAATCTGTAAAAACTCTGTCTTCAAATTCTTTGTGAAACAATTTCAGAATAATGTTCCTCGATGGAAAATTGTGTCTAGAGTACATAATATCATCAAGCGATTGTGTGAATCTAAACATTCAGACACATTAACACTCCGATGGATAGATCAGAGAGCAACTTGGGCTAAGACGGGGATCGAACACCAACCTTCCAATTAGCAGATAACCTGCTCAACCTCCTGAGCTACAGCCACACCACATAGTCAACACATCCTCTGGACTAAAGAGGAAATCGGTCAGCTGGCTTGTTATCAGCACTCAGTTCAAAAGCCCGGATCTTCGATTGTAGGGCGGTGCATTAGTGTCTGTGGAACTGGCAGCTGTTGTTACAAAGAGACCGAATGCTACAGTGCGGTAAACATGTCCTGCTGCCATAAAAGTCAAAATGGGCTAACATTGCCTCATTTTAAATGTGGTATAGCGTGCCATGTAAATAAAATATGGCTTTATGACATTTGCAAATTGTTGGGTTCTGTCTTTATTTATATTTTACGCACCATTCCAAGTTTTGGAATTTCACAAATTTCTCATTTATAGTTTGACATTTCTGTGTGTCAGCACCGGCTGACTTTTTGGAGACTTTTTTTTTTTTGTCAATATCAGGTTTGAGGATCTCACCAGTAAACTTCCTAAAAATGCCCCAGAGTTCAGCGATGTCCGTAGCGAAGGTGATGTCTGTGTCCAGGACGATGACCTTCGACAGGTCGGAGGGCAAAGCTTTGGTTAGCGTCAGCTTCATCAAGCCGTAAATACCTGAGTAGTGTTTGTTGGGTATCCACGACACTTCGGACTGAAACGAGAAAAAAATGCAACAGTAACTCTTAAAGCTGTTACAGCTCTGAGCTGTTCATTATGTATGAGCGCAGTTCCAGTATGTGGGCTAAGACAAAGCCATATAAGGACATTCTGGCAAAGCCTCAATTTGTTGGGTTTTTTCCCTGTATCTGCTAAGAGACTCTTTTAATTAATTCTCCTGATTCTGAGTAATTGTATCTGCATAAGTGAATCATCTGCAAACATAATCGGCTTAGAGTCTTGGCTGTTTTTCCCTGTTTTAGTGTGAGTTAATGGAAGCTGAAGAGAGAGGCTGCGGGTCGAGGCTTCTGACAGCACAAAGGACTCATTGTTTAGCACTAAGACTGTGAGGGAGAGGAGAATGTGATGATGTGATGGGGGTGATGCAGGTTGGAAACACAAACAAATTCAGGCTTGTTCCCTCCCCGCCACTCCAACAGAACAGTTATGATTTTAAAATAAATCGTTTGGCGTCTTTGTGCTCAAGCGTCACTTGACTTTTCGAACTTAACAAGCAGTCGTTTCTGTCGAGTCAAAGCTCCTGTGGTGATTGTTGTCTTTAAACTTCGAGGAGGTGGATGAGCGGCTCAGAATCACCGAGCAGAAGTCTTAATTCAGTGACACTTAATTGGATGTTTTGACTGTTTTTGTCCCATTCCCAGTCTAGATGGTCCCACACTGCTTGGACACCGATCCATGACTGACGGAGTTCCACGTTCCATGGACGTCTTTACTGTCATCTGATATTTGGGGTTTTCTCTGTATTATTCTGGGGTTATCTTAAAACGTAACATGCCTTTGGGCAACTGTTGCTGTGGGGCAGTGGATCAGGCAGTTTATGTATCAATCCTGCAATTCATCCCAGGACTGAAGAGGGCAGCATACACCATTACAATTACATATACTCTTGTTCTACTCTATATCTGAAGGAGGCGGACGTCAACAAGCACTGGAAACACCACACATGCCAACGTAAAAAAGTACACGTGAAAGATCAAACATGTGAAAAACGCATGTTACCATTTCGAGACAGCAAATGTTTGCTAACGTTATATAACTATATGAATGTGTTATATCAGGGCACCACTTTAAATAAAATGATAACTCAACAATAACCTTACCTAGATCAAATGAGTGCATTTAACTTTATTTATACTTGGTTTCCTCACATACATCAACTGATCTGGCCTAAATATGGAACACTTGTACACCGCTGTCTGCAAGCACTTGTGAGACTCGTAATCTCTAATATCATGCAGCAAAATTTCTGCCACAACTTCACCTACTTCCAAGGTGCATGGAGAGGATGAGAAACTAACAACGCATGAACTCCAGCAACACTTAAAAGTAAAGAGGAACAACTTTCTTAACTGACCAACGTGTGTCGGCTTGTGGCTTTCATCAGGGTCATAGAAACAGATAACACAATTTGTGCTTAAATAAAGGAAACAGAAAAAAATTCAAATTAACCAATCACATCTTCATAGGTAAGCCAGCTGACAGCAGTTAATTGGTTAAGTCACAGGCCAAGTAAATACTGGACTAGACCATTAACGTAAAAGGGGGGGGGGCATAATCCCCACCTATCTTATCATGATACATCTGAGAAATGCATAAAAAGAAAGAATGTTGAAATTATACAGAAAAATATTTATCCTTAGATTCATGAGAATGTTTGATGTGATTTCCAGTGTTTGTGTGACCGTGGCCAGTGAATTAACAGGTCAAGAATAATACAAGGAGAGCAATGACTCTGTCTGTATTCATGTTCAGGCTTGATGCTCCGGTGTTATTAAAACCAGTGTTCCTGTAGCTGTGTGGTGTATGTGGCACAGGAAATCAACAAAAACTAAGATCTCTGACTACAGAGATGTCATTTTCTGAATCTGTGCATCATAACATGTATAAAACTTTGAATGTATAAAGTTTATCTTTAAATTGAATAAACCTAAGAGCTGCATGTTCAAAATAAACAACGTAGCATAACTTTAGTTATTACTTAACGTTTTTGGGCCGTAAGTCTGCATAACTTTTTAAAGTAAAGTCAAATTTTACAGTGTGTTGCATTGTGCCTTACCAGAAGGCTGGAAACCCCTCAGCACCAACATGAGTACAATCGAAGCTAAATGGGAGCTTGACCCTTTATCTCATCCTAAAGTAAGATCAGAGAGCTTTAACGATGTTCTGATCTCTGCTAAAGTGACAAATGATCTGACAAGCACATAGACACTAGCTGTGACCTCCTCTGTCAGACTCTTAGAGATGCATACTGTACCGTGCAGCTCTTATTCTGTCTCCCACTCTTTGATGCTCTGCAACTATTCTGGTAAAGATTTGGAAATATATTCAACGGTACCCTCACAACTTGCTGTTGCTTTGAACTGTGCAGGTTTTCTTTTGATGTGATAAATTTAGGGTCTGACTTTGACTCACCTTGTCTAACAGACAACAGGAAACAGGGCTGTGTTAATGTATTTGGATGAGGTTTATGTACTTTCAAGGCGTGCTCTTACCTTGAGTTCATCTGCATCGTAGAAGCTGACTTGCACAGATGGAACCATCCAGGACTGGAACAGAGAACTCAGGATTCGATTTGCTACTGTGTCAGTGATAAAATGAAAGTGAAGAGGATTTCTCCTGAAAAATAAAAAAAAAGGCATCAAGGTCAAGGAGGTCCTTCCAGTAGGAGGAAAAAAATGTCAACACGTTCCACGGCAATGCAATACTGTAATCAGATTACATTTTTCAGTATGACAGTGATGTAACGTGCTACGGTGATATGGGCATCTCTTTTATTTGTAGTGCACAAAAGCACATCAGTACAACGGTAAAGGGCAAACTGCATCTGGGACAGAAACAACTGCGTTTTACTGCTAACACAAAGGTAACCTGCTAGCACAAAGCTAACCTGCTAAAACAATGCTAACAAGTTAACACAAAGCTAACGTGCTAACACAAAGCTAACACGGTAACACAAAGCTAACACGCTAACACAAAGCTAACACGCTAACACAAAGCTAACCTGTTAAAATAAAGCTAACATGCTAACACAAAGCTAACACGCTAACGTAAAGCTAGTGCGCTAACACAAAGGGAAGAGCTCAGAATAACATTAGAGCTAAGTGTATGCCAACCCCAAACCACACCTGTACATGTGTCTGTAGCAGAACCTCTTTGGCTATCACTTTGAAGTTTCTTTGGACTGGTGTTAAACTTTGCTTTTTGTTGTGGGTTTATTCTATTATGTAACGCCAGCAAAATGATCAAATGTGTGTCCTTGTTAGGATAGGATTTTGTGTCTGTGTGGGACTGTAGCCTGAGGTTTATATAGTATAATGAGTACTTAAGCAGGATACTGCATAAATTTAAAAAGAAGTAAGTAATCTGTAGTACATTTCTTCTCTTGAATAATAACCCCACACAGGGTCGCTGATAAAGCTGAATACTAGTAGTTATTCATGTTAGCTAAGGTTAGCCCTCTAAAAGCATCACCATCATTAGCCTTCTAAATTAGCAGCCCTCTGCCCATGGAGCTGCTATCTTCATCAACAAGCTCTACAGTTTGCCTGCTTTGAACAAAAGCTTGAAGCAAGAGTGCCTTTATGGGTCTTTATCTCGTTTTCGATTATCCAATTTCCCCACAAACATTTCTTTTTGTCCCTTATCACTTTTATTTAATATCCTTTTCTTTTTATTTGCCTTTAGCATGTTTGAAGAAGGCTTCACAAATACTTTAGCTTCTTCTTTCTCCTGTACAATCTCGTGTTAACTCTAAAGTCATGTATATCTGAGAATATCTAGGTAAAAGTGGGTTTGTATGTAAATCTATTACAAAAAGAAGAATTTTGTGACTTTTTGGAATTTTGGAATGACCAGGATTTTTGTATGAATTACTCAAACAAATCTTCTTCCAAGTCACAACATAGACAAACATAGTGTGACTAATAAATAAAATAAATAAACCTATTATGTATTGACTAATGACTAATCATTCACATGGCTGGTTCTTTAATGATTGCACATTGTGCTCTTGGTATGCTCTTCACAGACTGTCCATTTCTAAAGAGAGCAGAAAAAGTCATGAATTTTGACCATTTGTAAACACTTTGTCTTTTTGAACACAATTCTCTAAAAATGTGTTTGTAGCATTTTGTAGATTCCTATATCTTAGTAACACTTTTTCCAACTTCCTGTAAACATTGTAGTCACTGAGAATGGTAAAGAGTAGATTTGAAATGAAATTAGTTTGTCAGATTTACTTTAGTGTTTCTTAAAGGCTGGGGTAAGTTATGATTACATTACAGCTAAGTGACATTAGTTAGCATGATGAGATTATGTCAGTTTGAAAGTGGATTGCGTCCTCCTTGCAACTATGAAAAAATGGTGGCTGCAGGTTGTTGCATTGCATTTTTCCGTATTTGGTGACCAGCAAGTAGTTGCAGTGACCAGCTAGTACAGGTGTGAAACCTTCAACATCAAATGAGCCATTTTAGACCCTTCTACCAAATAATGGGGGGGGGAGAGCACACAGATGTGCTGGCGGACAGATGACAGATATAAGGGAATAAATCAGTGTTTTTATTACTAGCCTGTAGCCAGATACGGCTCTTCAGCCAAAGGTTGCTGACCTCTGACCTAGCGGGAAGCAACCTGTCTGAGCAATTGGAGACAGAACATTCAATTTCTAGCTTGTTTAGCTGATGTGACCAAAGCAAATGAAGGCTAAATGTTTGGTTGACAGAAATAATATTTTGATCAGCTGAGATAATTTAAGTATTGTACATCCCTTTTTGCTCATTTTTTAGCATCTGATTGCATCCATTTAATTAAACCAATGTAATATACTTTTAGATCCTTTCAGTAATAACCTTAAAATGTCTGTTAAAATGTGACTCTTATGTGATCTAAACCATAACATTTTCACTTTGTCTGTTTCCTGTTTAAGCTGAATGAATCTAACTGGGAAATGGGACCACCTCAGCAGAGACTTTAGCCTGCAGCAACTACCAACCAATCAAACTGCTTGATTTAATTTCTACAGTGTAAAGGTCCATTGGCTCATTTTGTTTCAGTCTCTTCATTTTTTAAATAACTCTTTTTAGGGTGACCTTCAAATAATACATTTTTGTTTACAGAAAACCTAAACTAGAGGACTGACACAAATTTAGACTTACCTGTGAAAGAGGACCGACTTGACCAGTGTGACCACATCTCTGCTGGCGTTATGACCGGCACAAACGCACGCTACATGGATCAGCTAAAGGAAAAAAGAAGAAGAAGAAGAAGCTCTGAGTTTTGGCAAAAGGCAGCCTGTAGCATGAATACTTCCCATTATGGGCGCTAACAGCTTCCATCACAAGCTCACAGCAGACTAGATGTGACTGCAGTTATAGATCTGCCCTATGTGCTAATTCACACACAGTGTCATCAGTCTTCTCCTAAAGTACTGAAGCTATATTATTCTGCTGGTGCGTGTCACTCGCCCCCGTCTCTGATGTAAACTTTCATACTGAGATTCTCAAACATGTATGATTTCACAACACTCGCTTTTCAGCAGAAGAGACTTTGAAAAGTTGGAGCTCAAAGGCAGCAAATCACATCAAAGAACAAAGTGTTCCCCTGGATTTCAGACCCTGCTAACCCACCTCTGCCTCACCCATTAATTAGTTTGAATGGACCACTGTGATTTGCTGAGCTTCTTGTTCAGGAAATTCTCTCCTGTTTGTGATTAGCCATCAGTGCAGCTGTTAGTGTGACACACTAATGTGTGATCCCATCAGAAGTAGTACTTGTTAAAAAAAAAAGAGAGATTTGTCACCGAAGTGAACTATGTGTAACGAGGTAGTTGCACCCCCCGGCCTCCAGGTGGCGCATTGCTCAGTGAGACAGAATAGCGAGGTCATAGGTCCTCCTCTCCAATTGACTATGTGCACGTTAGCATATGCTACTTCCGGTGCGGAAACTCCTGTGGGGAGCTTTGTTTCCGGTGTCCTATTCACGCCTTGTTTACCGTCCAAAATAAGTTAAGCAAATGAATGAATCAAGCGGCGATTTACATTTCTATAGATGTCTTGGGCATTTACCCAATATATCTGTAAATGATGTTCATCGACTTGTCGATATTTTTCCCCTGCGCCTCAGAGCAAAAGAGAAAAGGGATTCAAATGTTATATTTCTCAGCTGTCCCTCGTTTATCGCGGGTGTTATGTCCTAAAAATAACCAGCGATAGGTGAAATCAAGTAGCCAATTTTATTTTTTGACAGTGCAAAACGTTTCGTGGACATCATGGACATACAGTACTGCACTTCAGAGTCACACTGCTACGATCGATGCAGCGATTCTGTACTGTACAGGAGAGACGTCACGGAGGAGATCGTCTGCAGCGATCAGGACGCAGGACACAATGTGACGTAAAAAAAGCATGCAAACTTGCACTAAAAAATCTGCGAAACAGCGAGGTGAAAGGTGAACCGCGTTATAGCGAGGGACCACAGTAATTTTGAAGGTAAGTCACAACATACCCTTCGTAAATACTAATGTATAGAAACCGTTACCAGCAATCATTCATTTTTTGTGTGGCTTTTTTCATGGTTTGTTAACATGCTGTGTAGGTGTGTACTTGACTAGCTGATATCGACATAACGGGGAAACATCTGGTTTGACTATAGTTCACCTGTAGTTTGAATGCTGAACATTTGCCTGTTTAAATCACAAGACCAGTCACTATACAGAGATGTGCTTCTGAATGTGGACGATGTGTCTTCTGCTGCAGTGATGCAGTTATGCTTGTGTTGAGTGATGTAAACAACTGATCGATCTAAACTCTTTAAATGTCAAAATTGATCATTCGATTTTTTTATGACACGAGCGGTGAGTGTTCCCACCTTCTGCTCTTTGTAACTTAACGCGATCTTTCCGTTTTCAAGTTTTGGACATGATTTTGGAGTATATCTTCGCAGTAGCGATTGACCGCAAAGTAAAGCTACCCGAAATGCACAACCCTACATCCAGTCTCAAACCAGGAAGTTAGCATTTTCTTGTGCACATAGTCAATATGGCAGAAGCGAGGCAAAGAGAAACTTCACCAGTCGCCTCTGTCTCATCATTTCCCTGTTTTGCAGGTTTGTAACCGGTAAAACTATATTAAAACGGTTGTAAAATATTAATAAGAAACACAGCTAAATGTGGGGGTATAAATCAGTGGGTAAACCCTATTATTTGTTACGTTTTATGAAGTAGAAGGACTGGAAAAATGCCAAAGCCTAGCCAGCCGCGGGCGCCATTTTGGTTTCCTTTTTCCCCTTATTTCAGGTCGTTTTAGCTGAATAAGCTCCCTGTTGTGTCCTGATATTGTGAATATGAATGTTAATCTGCTGTTGGCAGTGAAGAACGACTGTTTACTGATTCTGAAAAGTAATTTTGAGAATGTTAAAGCTAAAGCTAAGCCTGCCAGCATACACATGACTCTTTCATGTATTTGTGAGCTACTAAGCTGAATTGGTTTAAGACCAAGCACTAGTATGTTGGTTAAAACAATCAGAATACATAGGTATTTGGGATAAAAGTTAGAGGTAAAAATGTATTTGAACATGCATTTCATATTGTTTTGAATTGTCATTCAGAGAGAATAGCTGAGTAGATGATTTAATGGTCGCTACACATGAAGTATTTTTGTTTTCCATGTAAAGATTGTGTATTGCAGCTTGAACATACAGACGGTTGTATTCTTATTTCTGTTGCATATGGAGAATGTTGGTGCTGCAAATTGAAAATACATGTGATTGTATAAATAAATATGGCAGAAGCGAGGCAAAGAGAAACTTCACCAGTCGTCTCTGTCTCATCATTTCCCTGTTTTGCAGGAACATTTAATCTGTTTTACCGGCCCAAACTCTGGGTCGGTTACATTAGCAGAGTTTATCCTGACCTCACACTTCTGGACGGTGGGTGAGCGGGGACACCCCGTGTGGTTGTTCTTCTCCTCGGCCGTGTTGTCGCCATCCTCGGGCCCCGTGTCTGCAGACGCACCCCACTGCTGGTTGCCATAGTTACCATCCGCTGCCTGGCCAGCCATACCCTGCGATTGGCTGAGCTGCAGGCGGATCTGTCGGTTCTCCTCCTCCACCTCCCGAACCCGCGACTCGAGGACGGCCCGCTCTAGGACCTGGGCAGCTGGAGTATCCGCCAGGCAAGGAGTCAGGAGAAGGGAACGACCATCTAAGGAAGGAAAGTGAGGCACTGTCAGGCTGTCTGCAGGAAGCAAACAACATGTAACCTGTGCATTGCTTTTGCTCTGTAGTTAATAAAAAATAACTCTTCTTTATTTACTACAGCCTTAACAATTCAAAAACATTTGGCGCATGTCTTTTGGTTTGAAATCTCTGATAACTATTTCATGTTCCAGCAGCAATTTTGGCCCATTTGAGGCTATTCTTAGCCTTTATTTCTAGAGCCTCAGTTTTTATTGTAGTTCTTATTCATCCAACACTTGTCTGCACCTCAGCAAACTTAACTTACTACTTAGTCGGTAGATGCATCTGTAGTCAGGTATCTAGTTCAGTTACACTGGTCCCATCTACCAGGGTCGGCTCATTACATCCATACAGCTCACTGTGGTTCCCACTGTACTGTAGCTTCTGGATCTCCACATGGTAGCTCTCTTCTACTGATATTATTGCACTGAGCTGCTAGGTGCTGCTGGTTTTCTACTCATTCACAGTTCAAACATGCGCTGCACATAAACTCCTTCACTGGGTTGGCTGGTAGTTAGAAAAATGTATTATAATATGCAACACTGTAAAGTAACTATAATTGTCAAATAATTGCAGTTGAGTAAAAAATGATTATTCTCCTGTGTTAGTTCGGTATGTTGAAGAACCAAAATCCCTGCCAAAAAAGCAGTTCAGCCAGACACAGCTCCATTAAACACCAGATTAATTAGTACAGTTATAGCAAAGCTGCTAACGGGCTCTGTCGTCTTCTGCCCAAACTTCTGGAGACGACAACAGGAAGTGTAAAACCCGACCAGGACCTGTGGAGGTGACATCACAGGCAGCACACTCATGTTTGGCTTCATGCATGCTGAGAGTCTGAGAACGTCTCCTGCGGCTCACACTTGAAAATTGGCTTCTCACACATTTGTTCGCTCCTCTTTCACCACCTTACTGCCTCCTCAATGTTCTGACAGACTCGGG